GTAGCCAATAAGTATTGGCGACGGATTCGAGCCGTCGCCAATACTTATTGGCGACGGATTCGAATACGTCGCCAATACTTATTGGCAACGAATCAAATCTGTCACCAATGTCCGTCGCCATCGTAAAAAATTAACATTAGTGATTGATTATCTCATTGTTAATGAGTGGCCCTATAGAAAATTAAGAATTATTTTAATATTAGTCCCTAAAATCTATAATATTTTAAATGTAGTCCAATACTATTTTGTTCCACGTAGGTAGATGATAGCTTGAGAGCTGAGGACGTGGAAGTCTACTATGATCCAGGACAGTTATTTGGTGGCCTACTCAAGGGTCGCCTGCTCCCCTCTAGCGTCATCGTCGAGGAGGCTGTAGCCGTGACTTTGTCGCTGTAGGCATGTCCCTTCTTTAGGGAGAAGTGATATATACTTGCTGAATTTGAATTTGCTTGTAGAACGAATCTAGTAGTTTTCTCGTTAATAAATGAATGGAATTAGTGGAAATACCTTTTGCTTGTTTAAAAATTAGTGGAATTAATGAGCAATATAAGAGGGTGGTTTTCTAGTCATATTTTTAAAATTAGTGGAATTAATGAGCAATATAAGAGGGTGGTTTTCTAGTCATATTTTTATACTTTCAAGAAAACGAATCTAAAGATAACCACTAACAGGTAGAAAACTGAGTATTGACGACGGGGTATTGGCGACAGATTTGAAATCCATTGCCAATACAAACATTTTCGGTGGAAAGATACATATGTTATCAGATTCTTACGTTAAAATATTTTTAATTAATTAGGAATTCTATGTTAGTTTTTAAATTTATTTATTTTTATTCTTATGCTAGTAGATTCGATGAACTCCACTACTCTGGGCTTTATTTACGGATGGACTTGACCCTGTAAACATCATTAATGAATCTGAGAGGAGATAAATTAGATTTAATCACTAAAAACCGGATGAAAATAGTTTGGATAGAGTTCTCTTGGAGTTTTTTATAAGGTTAAGAGGAGAAAGAGCCGTCAAAATTGAGTTCGAGCGAATATAATATAACAGGTCATGTGTTCAAACTCTTGGATCACCACTACTTTCTTTTTTGTAAAATTTTTACATATATACCCAAGCATTGTATATATTTGTAAATACCCCCCCAAAGCATCATTTTACTAATTTCCCCCTCTAAATTGTCTTTTCCATTTAAGCTTATGTCTCAAATTGAACGAAGATTTAATGACCAAGAAAATCAAATACATATTTGGTTAATTTCTATTTGTTTATGAGTTTAATAACTAATAGCTATTCATTTATTGTTAAATGAGATAACGAATCAAATTTGATCGAATAGCTAGATGAATAATAACTAAACAGTTTATTAATTATTTGGTTCACTTCCACCCCTACCTCTAGGCTCATGAAACACATCTACTATTATTGTTTAAGACGCATATATTGTTATTGTCTGATAAAAGTTATTCCTAGGTATTCTACCCCGATACTAATGCTGTAATAATTAACAATATGGTTTGTTATACATAAATTAAAAGTCAAGTAAAACTAGTAATAATAGTTAGATTTAAAAGAATATTTCTTTAAATATAACCGGTGTTAACCAGGGGACCTAATAGTAAATATTGTGATGATTTGAGGGATGTAATAGAAATTTCCATGATTTGAGTGAGTAATTTTAAAATATTGAAGATAGCCAACCGGACTAATTTTGAAACGGGTTAACTTATCATACCAGAACTTATCATACCAGAACTTATCAACTAGGTCCAAACGGGTTAACTTTTTATAATTAAAAGTCAAGGAAAACTAGTAATAATAGTTAGATTTAAAAGAATATTTCTTTAAATATAACCGGTGTTAACTAGGGGACCTAATAGTAAATATTGTGATGATTTGAGGGATGTAATAGAAATTTCCATGATTTGAGTAATTTTGAAATATTGAAGATAGCCAATCGGACTAATTTTGAAATATTAAAGATTTGAGGGACTAATTTTGAAATAATCTAATCATTAACACTAAATAAGAGGATGTAAAAGAAAAATTGATAAGAATAGTTAGATTTTAGGGTTGAAATAGCAATTCTATGAGATTTCGGAAACTAATTTGAAAATATAAAATTTTGAGGGGCTAAAATTAAAATATGAAAGACATAAATATCTAAACCTAAACCCTAATCCAATCAAACCCAAACCCTCTCTCCCCCCCCCCCCCCCCCCCCACCTCCTGAGATTTTTCACGTCTTTGCTTCACTTTCACACTATTATTTGTCAGGGCTTTACCAACTCCATGAAAGTAGAGAGCTTATAGGTCCATGACTTGCACAAATGAGTTTTATATTGAATTTTGAAAGCTGGTTCATTTGGAAATCATGAAATTAGTTGAGCCATAACCATAGTTATAGCTTTCACTTCTACATTGAAGATGGAAAGACGACCTTCAGAAAAAAAAAGGAGAAATTTACGTTTCGTCATAAAGCGAGTCAGCTCTATTAATTCGAGGAAAATTCTAGTGCATAAAGTTTCTGGCATTGATAAATGTTCATACATTCTCGCATTTGTTCATCATGATTAACAAATGACTTTGACGTTGATAGTTCTAAATGATTTTAACATGTTTTGCTTCTGTAAAAAAAAATTCTGACATTCCACTGTTATATATAATTTTATAGTTGATTCTAATACATTTTTTTCTTTTATAATGTAGTTTTTTTAATGGCTCTAATATATTCCATTATTATAGAACAATTTTAAATTAGGATTACTTATCATAGAGTGTTAGCTTTTATTTGGTACAACAATGGCCATTATAGAAGAGTAATTTAATTCGTTTGATTATTTGTTCAATCAACTAAAATAAAGACTTTTAAACTTATGACGATTTAAGAGATATTAAATTAATTAATAAGTTTTCCTATTATACAGATGAGAGAAGTTCCTGATAAGTCATGGATTGATATTCCTATATTGAAAAGAAGAGCAAAAGGTGATACTCGATATCGAGACGGATGGGAAGCATTCCTTGAATATGCATATGCTAATCCGAGGAAGATAGAGAACGATTTGTTGTGTTGTCCATGCAGTAAGTGTAGGAATAGAGGTCTGGTGGATAGAGTTGCTATACGAAGACACCTAGAAAGATGGGGATTTGATGAAAATTTTAAATATTGGAGTTTTCACGGAGAAGGTGAAGATATTGAATTAGATGATAGAATTATAGACGATACGCACGCAATGTTCAACGATGTTACGACAGTTGCAGAAGTTGATGAAGTTCCAGAAGTACCAGATGCTGTTGAAGTTCCTAGAGATGCAGATGATGTCCAAAATACCGAGGATGTGCGTGATAGCGGGGCCTACAGAAATTTAGTGAAGATATTGGAAGACAACGAGAAGGATCTGTACGATGGTTGCACTGAGTATAGTAGGTTGTCATTTATTCTTGAACTGATGCGTATTAAGACCCTGAGCGGAATGGCAGATAAATATTTTCAAATGCTTCTTAATTTACTACGCAAGGTAATTCCAAACGGAGAGAATAGCATACCAGAAAAGTGTTATGATGCAAATAAGATTGTTAGTGCTCTGGGTTTAGATTACAATAAGATCGACGCTTGTCCCAATGATTGTGTCCTTTATTATAAGGATAACGAGAAACTTGAGGAATGTCCAAAGTGTGGAGTGTCTCGATGGAGAAAGAATGCACGCACTTCAACACGAAAGTCAGATGAGTCAGTGAATCAACAGAAGAAAATTCCAGCGAAGGTGCTTCGACATTTTCCCTTAGTGCCTCGGTTACAACGTCTGTATATGACAAAAAATATAGCAAAAGATATGCGGTGGCATAAGGAAAGACGTGTAGATGATGGTAAAGTGAGACATCCAGCAGATGCAAAGGCATGGAAGCATGTGGATCAGACTTTTCCCTCATTTGCCACAGAGTGAAGGAATGCCAGACTTGGGCTATCTAGCGATGGATTCAACCCGTTTGGCATTATGAGTTCGGGATGGTCTACTTGGCCAGTTGTGTTAATGCCCTATAATTTATCACCTGGACTTTGTATGAAGCAATCATATATGATTCTTTCATTATTGATACCAGGCAAACATTCACCCGGTAATGACATAGATGTGTTCATGGAGCCGTTAATTGATGAGTTAAAACGTCTCTGGGATGAAGGGGTCCCAACATATGATGCATTTTCTTGTGAGTCTTTTAATCTCCGTGCTATTCTTATGTGGACGATTAATGATTTCCCAGCTTATGGTAATCTCTTTGGTTGGTCTACGAAAGGGACATTCGCTTGTCCTGTATGTGGTCCGAACTTCGAAGGCTTTTATTTACAACACAGTCAAAAAATGTGTTATTGGTTTAACAGAAGATGGTTACGAAAAGGACATAAATTCAGGGGCAAAAAAAGGGCAAATAAGTTTGATGGCCAAGAAGAGAAAAGAGGGGAGCCGCGTGAAATGACTGGAGATGAGATTGTGAACTTGTTTGAGGGATATCCTAAATTCAAGTTCGGAAAGAACCAATTTACAAAAGAGAAAATTCTTACTCTGAGACGCACTTCTATCATGAAGAGGGAACCTAAACGAAAGAGGCAAGTGCGGAGTTTGGATGTCACACATGCTGAGACTTTGCCGACAGGATGGACAAAATTTAGTATATTCTTTCAGTTGCCTTACTGGCACAAGCTCAAACTCCGACACAATTTAGATGTAATGCATATTGAAAAGAATATATGTGATAACTTATTGTCCACACTTCTACAAGATGGTAAGAAATCAAAGGACGATTTAAGGGCTCGACAAGACTTGAATGCGTTGAACATCCGACATGATCTGCAAGCACAAGAAGTCGCCAATGGCAAATTTGAGTTGCCTTCAGCTCGTATTACAATGTCAAAAGTTGAGATGCAAAGATTCTGTGAGGTGCTTAAGTCAGTGAAGTCACCAGATGGTTACTACTCTAATATTTCAAATAATATCCAAGTGAAAGAGCGAAAACTTTTAGGACTTAAGACTCATGATTATCATATCCTTCTTCACCAATTGCTTCCGGTAGCACTTCGTAACAACATGGCCGATGAAGAAGTAGCAAAAGTTATAATCGAATTCTGTGGATTTTTTAAAAAGTTATGCTCAAAAGTTATCAATATTGATGAATTTAAGGCACTAAAAGGAGAAATGAATGAAACCCTCTGCAAAATGGAGATATTCTTCCCTCCATCATTTTTTACGATCATGGTCCATCTCACACATCATCTTGTAGATGAGGCATTACTCGGAGGACCAGTTAACTATCGTTGGATGTATCCCATGGAGAGGTTAGTCAAAATTCAATTAAGTCTATTTACAATACATGTAACTGCTTTATATTAACAACTCATATTAATATTATCTTTAGATATTTGGGTTTCTTGAAACGCATAATGCGAAATCGGGCTCATCCTGAAGGATCGATTGCTGATCATTACGTGGCAAATGAATGTATGATGTTCACCTCTCGATATATACATGGTGTACATACAAAAAATAAGGAGATAAATAGTAATAGAGATGGCACCTTTCATGGAAGTACCAAGATGAACAAAGACTATTCCAGAATTGACTTGAATCAGGCTCATGCCTTCTTATTGCAGAACCTGGAAATCTTTGAAGATTATCGCAAGTAAGAAATTAACTTTAACAAATATGATTTTTTTTTAATTATATCAATAATTGAACTCTAATTTTTTGTATCAACAGACGACATTTGGAGGAGTTACATTTAGAAATTACTGGTCCGTCCGCACGAAATCAAATTGCTAAAATTCATGAAAAACATTTTACCGAGTGGGTCATAGCTGAAGTAAGTTAAAGTGTATTTTATTTTACATTCTTTTTAGGAATAAATAAGGCTAACTATTTAACGCTAATTTGTGTTTATGTGAAACATTAGGTAGAAAGACAAAAATGTGCTGGTTTGCCAGTGTCAGAAGAGATAAGTATTCACTCACATGGACCGCACTATACAGTTAAACAATGCAGCGGATATCGTGTAAATGGGTGTTTATTTCAACGGGTTAGGCTTGGGGAGGAGAGAGTTACTCAAAATAGTGGGGTCATGGCTGCATTTTCTCAAGAATGTTATTCAAGCTCAACTGATCAAAATCCGGTACTTGGTGATGTAATTTATTACGGACAATTAGAAGATATTATGGAGATATTCTATGCGTACGGTACCAAAAATGTACGTAGTTATGTGATGTTTAAATTAAGGTTCGTTTGTGTCATGCAGACATACTAGGGATGCATATGGTTTTCATCTTGTAAATCTAGATAAGGAGATATATCCCGATATGAAGTTTATGTTTGCAAATCAGGCTACTCAGTGCTTTTACGTCAAAGATCCTAAGCACCCGAATGTCTGGGTCGTATTGTATAAGGAGCCGAGGACTCTTGTTCAGCTTGCTCTTGATGAAAACTCGGATGATACTGATGACCCAAATGAGGCCGAAGGAGAAATTTTTCATAATTACTCATACCCTCAGAATGTCAATTTTAATATGTATCCTTCACAAATTCGACTTGATATCTGTAATGTAGGAGATTGAATACAAAGATCCTTATGCAAATTCAACTTGATATCTGTAATGTAGGAGATTGAATACAAAGATCCTTATGCAAATTCGACTTGATATCTTGTATGCATTTATTAAATATTTCAATTATGTTAGATTAACAATTTAAGTTGCAGATGAGCCAAAGAGTTAGGAGGCTATCTTTTCCTTGGGATCGAGAAGGTCCATCATCCGGTATGCATATTCAAATTTTGTTTTAAGTAAGTTGTATATTTGATATAAATATGCATTATATTTACTATTTTTTTATCTAGGATCGTCCTCACGACCATCTCGGAGTCAGTTATCTCTACATGGATCCTCACCAATTGAAGGTATAAAATTTACTTGCTTTATTCAGTTTGAACTTTTTGTGCATGTAATTACCTTAATTGATAAATTTATATGCTCATTTCTTATTTTATAATTTGTTAGATATTGCGGGGACATCTCAAATGGGTACACCGCAACATCAAGATGCATTACCAGGTATAGGTATTATACATTTGTAATATATTTTAATGTAATGTAATGATATTTTATATTCCTAATAAATATTTGCAGACAATGCTTGTGATGGATCTGGTGATGATGAGATCGAGCACGAGAGGATGTCTGTATCTTCTCAGTCAGAGATGGCATGTCTCCGCCCATGGACTCCGTTAGTATCTCGCATCCCTCTACCAGAAAAAGCTATTGAATTACAAAAAAATGTGATATGAACTACAAATTGAAGAGAGATGATATTAAAAGAAAGGAGCGTGCAAATAAAACAGAGACTAGATAAAGCTATGTCAGATCTAATGAGGGGAAAAGGTAATAATTTCGTTTAAACTTTGGATAATTCATACTTATTTGCTTACTTAAGTGTATAAGAAATTTATTTCTCTTTGACTTTGTAGGCCAAAAAGATTATGAGAAACCCGGTAGGCATGGGAGTGAGGAAAAGACGAAAGTACCTCCGAAAGGGTACCGGGGCATTTTGGAGTGGAAGGACAACATTCCTGTTGGGGATTGGGCTGTCAGATTTAATAACTTGATTGGCTGTTTAATAAGAGATCCACGCTCCATTAATATTGCTCATAATTTTGAGGAGCAAGAATTTAAATGCATAAAAAAGATTTGGGAGAAGCTCATGGTAATTATTTAATATACTGCTGCTTATTTTGTTTACAATTCACAATGATTATTCTTATAGTGTAATTTTTTTGCCATGTAACTTGCAGGATCATTATTGTCTTGAAGACAACCCAGAGTCTTGGGATTATGTTATCCCAAAAATGGCCAAGCTTATTCGAGTTTGGAAGAGTGATCTAAAGAAAAGATATTTCACAAATTTATCTACTGATTGGAAGAGGATCTATGAGCTTGATAAGAGAGTTCCTCCATTTAATTGGATGACTCTCATTATCGAGTGGGAGGGTGAGAAGAAGGTAGATTATTTTTAATTTATGACATTATCATCACGTTATTTTTCATTTATATATTATCATCGCACATACTAAAAAAATACTTTATTTTGTAAAAAATATGTGAAACGGCATCGGTGAATCGTAGATCAAAGCTATAAGATTACTTTTTGGAGCTACTTCTTATGCTCAGATCGAGCATAAGTATTTGAGCAAAAACCCGGTATGATCATATTATTAAAACTGATTTCATGTGATTAGTTTCCTACATTTAATTTAGAATTTAATATATCACAGGACGCTTTGACTATGCCCCCGACTCTTCTGGCTAAAAGAGCTTATACACCACCCCAGGGCTATGAAAATGTAGAGGGAAATGACAAAAAGGTGGAGAAAATTAATGAATTGAACGTAAGTATAAGATTAATTTTAGATTTGTATATACTTAATGATTTTTCATCAAAGTTTCTAATTTTTATGATATATGATATGCAGGCGGCGCTGGAAGCTTCACAAAACGATGTCTTCACCCGTGTCACGCAATCTCGAAGTACAGAGGACACTCCTGTAAAGCCTAACCGCATGACCAGAGACGAGTGGATGGAAGTTGTCGACGGAGCTTACGGTTTACACTCAAGAAAGAAAGGAAGAGTGCCTCTGTCAAGTACTAGAGTTAAGACACTCACCACCACCAATAAGCCTAGCAACCAATTTGTGACATCGACGCGACATAGTGACACGTCATATGTCGTGGGTAAGATTGGAAAATACTTAATGAAGAATGTTGAAATTCCATTGGCTTTAAGTTTTATTCACACTATTAAGCACGAGTTAAGTGGTGCACAAACGACTTGGGATATCGTTCAGCGACTCATCGATTCTCAACCCGTAAAGGACTTGCTTCCGCAGTCTATATACGCAGATATTAGTCGTTCAGCGACTCATCGATTCTCAACCCGTAAAGGACTTGCTTCCGCAGTCTATATACGCAGATATTATGGTGTTGGCATTTGATGAGCATGCAGCTGCAAGTGGTGGAGAGGTATATATGTCATATTATATATATATGTATTTATTATGAGTATTTTGGAATATATTCTCATATTGATTTATATTCTTTTTAGGTTAGAGGAGGTACCGCCGTAGGAAGCAGCAGTACGGTACGGCATCCTGATGCAGCCGCCACCGATGATAGGGATCACGACGATAGGGACCACGACTATGATGAGTGAGTGATGAGTTAGACTTTTTGGTAACTTTTGTGGACATTTGGATTGTGTTAAACATATTATGACCTCCTGATTATGTGGACTTTTGGAGTGTGTTGAACATATTATGACCTCCTGATTATGTATATATGTGAATTGTTAAATGTTAATATTGTTGGATGTGAATCGATGAATGTAAATGTTAGTATTGTTGGATGTGAATGTGAATATTGTTGGATGTGAATCAGTGAACGTGAATATTGTTGGATGTGAATCGATAAATGTGATATTGTGAGTATTGTTTAATATATTGTGAATAATGGTAGTAACAGGTACGCATTCCCGATTGGGGGGATTTACAATGCAGAAATAATTTTTTTTACCTGATTATGTACATTGGCGACGTGCATTTTTCGTCGCCAATTTACATTGGCGACGGGAATACACCTGTCGCCAATGTACATTGGCGACGGGCATTTTTCGTCGCCAATGTACATTGACGACGGGGACAAACCCGTCGCCAATGTACATTGGCGACGGGGACAAATCCGTCACCAATACACTTTCGCGACGGGGCAGAGCCCGTCACCAATAATCCTGTCGTCAATAAACATTGGCGACGGGGAATTCCGTCGCCAATGATCATTGGCGACGGATAGGTATTGGCGACAGAAAACATTGGCGACGGGTTATTGCATGTCGCCACAATGATCATTGGCGACGGATAGGTATTGGCGACAGAAAACATTGGCGACGGGTTATTGCATGTCGCCAATGTACATTGGCGACGAGAATACATCTGTCGCCAATGTACATTGGAGACGGGTTACAACTCGTCGCCAATGTACATTGGCGATGGGTTACAACTCGTCGCCAATGTACATTGGCGACGGATGTATTCCCGTCGCCAATGTTTTCCGTCGCCAATATACAACTCGTCGCCAATGTACATTGGCGACGAATGTATTCCCGTCGCCAATGTACGTTGGCGACGGGCTATAGCCCGTCGCCAATGTTTTCCGTCGCCAATACCTATCCGTCGCCAATGAACATTGGCGACGGATTTCCCCGTCGCCAATGTTTATTGGCGACAGGATTATTGGTGACGGACTCCGCCCCGTCGCGAAAGTGTATTGGTGACGGATTTTGCTGCATTGGCGACGGATTTCCCCGTCGTCAATGCTCATTTTTCTACCAACATAAGAACCGATTTTGATTTTCTCCTATAAACATGTTCCTCGTGGGATTGACAACTTTTTATACTATAACTTGATGATTGTGCACTTGTAACTCTAGAGCTATACATTTATGACTCGTCACTGAGTCGAAATGCATCTTTGGTTTCTCCATTCCTTCAACTTTCCTGCTTTGTGTGGTATAGTTAGGTGTCTCTTGGGTTTGTCATTAAGTACACTTGTCTATTTGACTGGTCTGTACTTTTTGACCGCCTACAATAATAAGCTATACAAGATTATGGCTAGGAAAAAATCTTGGATCCACCACTGATTATATTAATAGACGTAGAGATTATATGTGATTATGCATGCATAAGCATCGCGACATATCTTTGTACGTACTAGACATGAAAGAAATAATCATAGTCCAAGTCCGTGATCGCTTAATCTTATATGTTACGTACAAAGTGATACCTTTTGTGAGGTTTTGCTTCTAGTATTTAAATTTGATTTGGTAAATAAATAATACAGTGGTATCTACGTACTTTCTTACTCTTCATCTACATACATTAACTAAAGCACCTAACACATTTAGATCTCTAGCCAATCTCTTGAACCAACCTCAACCCAAAACAAGAGCACGTACAGCCACCACATCTCACGTCCTAATTAGCTTTCCATCCCCACGCCTTAAACAAAACTAAACTCCATCACATTTTCCCTTAAAAAGGCTTGCAAAATTAGGACATGGATCTAAAACTTTGCTAGCTTGTCAAAAGAATACAAATGTTTGTCATCGATCAACTAGTGATAGTGATTCTAAACGGATCAAACCAAACAATGATACATGAAACTAGTGGTGATGATAGTGACAATGATTTGTCTCTAACAAGTAATGCTAAAAGACCCTAATGCTAGAGAGACCACCATTACTTTGTTCTCTTGTTCGATCAAAAAAGCAATAGAGGAGGGGGGGAAAGTAAAATAAAGAGGAAAGGAGGGAAAATTTTCCTACTTTCGGTTTGGATTTGAAAGTGACTAGCTCTGTCAATTTCTCTTAATTGTGGCTCGTTGGGCCCGCGATCTCAACCGTGTGAATGGATCGGGCTCGGACCCGCAAAGCGACGAGACCCAAGAGTGCGCCAAACTTCGCGTCACATCGAGGGGAGTCTAATTATATGCAAGACGATACCAGAGTTCTGCATTATTGGGAGCCCAAGAGAAATTGAGCTTGTAATTAAAAAAATCGAAAATAAGAAATTGTAGAGGACGAAGAAGAAAAGGAAACTTCCCTCGTGTTTCTCTCACGCTGAGATTTTGCATGTGTAACCCCTCGTGTATCATCTTTAAGAACACTTACTTGGGACTTGTTTGGTAACTTGAGATAGTCGAAGGGATGGATCAAGATTTTTTCCCCCATATGTCAGATACACATTTATTATGCATACAAATTAGTAACTTAATTATATTATTTAAATTTTTAAAATATAAAATTTATTTATAGAATAATTCCAGAGGTCTTTACATATAATATTTTTCATTATTGCAATATCAATATATAATTTTTTCATTGGGGTTTTCGCATGCATAGCCCTAGAATCTTCCATATTTACAAACTTACTCTCCAAAACTTGATATTTACAAAACTATGTTGATGGTCCATCCCTCTTGAGAGGTTTGGTGGGCAAGTCTTGAGAGGCTATGTGACCAAGTGAAGCAAATACATGAAGGACTAGTCGGCTAAAGCTTCGAGGGCAAGCTTACTAAGCTTCGAGGGCACGCTTACTAAGCTTAGAGGTCAAGACATATCGGCCCTTTAAAAAGGATGTGATCCTTGGTATAGACACACAATGAGAGATAAAAAAGAGCATTGTTAAATGCTTATGAAAGTGTTTATCTGGGTACTTTGAGAGTGGGTATATAAGGGATTGCGGGCTCGGGCTCGGGCCGGGGAGTGATTTAATTGTAATTCTCTTGTATTCTCTCAAAAAAGTAAAAAATGGATAGCTCTCGGTCGTGGATATATGTGGTTTTGCCCAACTACGTAAATCTCTTGTGTCAACTCGCATCCATGTTGTTATTTTTCATTTCCACTAAATTGAGCTTTGCGCCGAGTTGATTTCATTATTGCTTTCGCGGTGGATCTCAGATCGGCTTGTGGTGGCCTCTATGTCAATAGAGGGGAAGCTTATCCATAACAAGTAGTATCAGAGCTAGAGGTTCGAATTGAAATCGAAGGAGCAAAGATGGCAAGAAATATCAATAATTTCACCCTTTGGTAAAGAAGGGTGAAGGACATTCTTACTCAACAAGGCTTGGAAAAAGCTTTAAAGGGGAAGGATGAAAAGCTAGCAAAGATGGATGATGACGAGTGGGAGGAGCTCGAGGAAAGGTGTGTGAGAACCATTCGACACTGTGTTGCTCGTAACATCTTGAATGATGTTAATGATGAAGATTTTGTGCTAGAAATGTGGAAGAAGTTGGAAAAACACTATATGGCTAAAAATTTAACCAAGAAGTTGCATCTGAAGCAATGGCTCTATCAGTTGAAGATGGTTGGAGGCAAGAATCTCACGGAGCACAACAATGTGTGGAAGGGTTTACTTGACCAATTCCAAAAAGTTGATGCTAAGGAGGAGGAAGAAGACAACCTTTTTCTTCTTACCTCACTTCTTTATTCTTATGATGACTTGATAACAACGATATTATTTGGTAAAAATACTTTATATCTTGACCAGATACAATCAGCATTAGTATCCCATAATACCCAAAAGAAATCTAATGGAAAGAGGGATATGAGTCTGTATTAGCTGTCATGAGGGAGAATCGAAGAATAAAGCAATCTAATAGGGGATTTCGTAGGGTAGGTCCAGATCTAAGTTCAGCGCAAGGCCATACAATGTTGGAGGCGTAGTGGTTATGTTATGTTAAAGCTGATTATCCTTGGTCGATGGGTGATTGTGCCTCTAGTGGAACCTCATCGCTAATAAGCATATATGGCATTGGAGATATCATCATGGTCTCTAAAATCACTAATGCTTCTTCTAAAGACTGGATATTAAATTCTATGGTAGTGGTGCACATGTGCAACACGTTAGATAATTTTGATTCATTTTAGGAAAAGATTGA